AGAGAGATAGAGACAGGGAGACACACAGAGACAGAGAGACAGAGGTAAGAGAAAGAGAGAGAGAAGAGGGAGAAACAGACTGAGACAGAGAGACAGAGAGAGAGAGAAGAGAGATAGGCAGAAACAGAGAGAAAGACAAAGACAGAAGAGGGGGGGAGAGAGAGACAGACAGAGACAGAGACAGAAAGGTAAAAGAGTAAGGTAAGACTAAAATGAGAAAGAAATGAAATAGAAAGTGGAAGACTAAAAATATCAATAAACGTCAATTCTTTGTTTAAAAAAAAAAAAGAAATCAGTAAGATTAAAATTGATAAGCTTTAACCAGTGGATACAAATTAGTAGAAGCAGGAATGAAGAAAAAGCCATTCTTGCAGAGACTAGATTAAAGGGACTAAAATCTATTGTAAGCCATATACTGATAATTTAAACAATTTGGCTGAGATATGTTGAAAGACAAAAAAAGCTCACTCTAGAGGAAATAGTTAATCTGGAATAGTCCTGTAGCTATTAACTGAATTGCATTCTCAATACAATGAATTCCCACAGGCTCATAACGGTTTATTAGTAAATGTGAATAAATATTTAAAGAAAAAGTAACTTGGTCTTATGAGCTTGCCATTTCCCTGATCCAAACTAGAGAAAAAAAAGCATTAAAAATTTAAAAAAGAAACTATAGAGCAGTATGCCACAAAATCAGATATGTAAAAATCCTTGACAAGGGCTGGCCAAATAGCTTAGCAGACTGAAGTGTCTGCAAGCAGGCGCAGGGCCAGGAGTTCGATCCCCCTGGGCATGGCCTGCCAGCTCCACCCCTGGGGCATGCTGAGATGGTAATTGAGACTGGGTGTGGTAGGCCTTTAATCCCAGCTCTTGGGAGGCTGTAAACAGGCGGATCACTGTGAGTCTGATCTAGTAGAGAGACCCTGAACACCCTGTAGACCCTGCCCTAAAATACAGAAAAATAAATAAATAAAAAATCCTTGACAAAACAGTGTCAAGTTCAGGCCTAGGGGTGTAGCTCAGTAACAGTGTGCTTGCCTGGCACAGTCTGCTCTGCAGCACCAGAAAAAAGTTAACTAAATGCAACAATACAGAACACAGAAGCCAGGCTTCCTGGGGCACCAGTACACCAGCATTCTGGGAAGCTGAGCAAGTTCAACCCCACTCCGGGCAACTGTGCCAAACCCTATCTCAAAATAAAATAATAAAAATAAGCTGGGGAGTAGCTAAGTATGAAGGTCAGGCATTCAATCCCCAGCGCTTCAAAACCAAAGAAAACCAAAAATCCCTAATCTCCATAGTCTAGTACGTAGAATTTATTCTGGAAATTCAAGTTGGGATTTATAATTCAAAAACTTGTCACTTTAATTTGACAGGAAAAGTAAGAAAAACCACCTTAACAGAAATTAAAGACACATTACAATATGACAAAATTCAATACTCATTCATGATTCAAACTTCTAGCAAACTAGAAACAGAAAAATCTCATAAAGGGCATGTAAGGAAACACTTAAGCTTACTAACCCTATAAAAATAAAAATTAAAAAAAAATACTAGAAGGAAATACTATAAGTAATGATATTCCAATTGATTAGATAACCTGGATGAAAGAGACTAGTTCCTAGAAAGACATGAGGCCAAGAAACCAACTCGAGAAATGGAAAATCCTGACAGGCCTATAGGAAGAAGTGAATTAGCAATAAAAGTTCAGGGCTGGAGAGATAGCTCAGTGGCCTAAGGGC